TTTTTTTTTTTTTTTTTTTTTTTTAACCTTTATTAATAATATTAAATTTTATTAATTTTAGAGAAATGTGATTGAGTACATAAAAAAAAAAAAAAAATAGAAAAACAGTCTACATTTAATTTTCATTAAAGTTTATGTTATTTATCTTTAATAAAAAAAAAAAAAAAATGTATCTATATATATATGTAATTGTAATAACAAATATATTTTATGTCTAAAAGATATAAATATAATTTTATATATTTTCATTTATATTTTTTTAATACAAAAACTGCAAGCATAATTCTTTAGAAATATTGAAAGGTATAAATTACTACTTAAAAAAGAAGGAATTTTTTTTTAAAAAATTTATAAAATTTTTGAAAATTTTTTTTTATTTTTATTTGGATTATTAAAAATTTTTTATGAGAATAAATTTTAATATTTTAAAATAATATAATAATCACTAATTAAAAAAATGTGTAACATTATTAATGAGGTGTTTTATTTTTATATTTCATTTTCTTAATAATAACTATATTAATAATATATTTGATATAATGTCTTATATAAAAAAATAAAATTCATGATAAATATGTTTAGTTTCACTAAATTTTAATAAAATATGTTTATCAATTAAATTTTTACACCATAACATTTTACTTTTTTCTAAAAAATATAATTTGTATTTGAGCTTTTTAAAAATTATTTTTCTTCCTTTTTATATATAAATATTAGTGTAGAATTAAAGATTCATTAAATATTTAGTTATTCTTTTTTTTTTTTTTTTTTAAATTTAGAACTACATATATATTAAAAAAAAAAATATATTTATCTTCTTATATAATATTTGCTCACCCAAATGTTAAATGAAATTTTCTATTATTGAATTAATAAATATAACTCTTTTTTTTTTTTTTTTTTTTTTAATTTTATTCATAAGAGAGAAATATAATACCACATAGATTAAGAATAACAAATCAATGTCCATCCTTTAATTATGAAAAGTATCATAAAAAAAAGAATAACATAAAATTTATTACAAAGATGTAAAAAAAAGAATTTAAAAGAAAAAATAATTTTTAATAATACTACAAATTTATCTATAATGGTTTTATAAAAGTTTTGCGGAAATTTGAATTTCATTATATAAAAATCTACTTAGATAAATATTCAAAATTAACAAAAATTTATACAATTGAATTAAAAAAAATGATGTACAAATATATGTAAATAAAAACAATTATGTTTTTTTTTTTTTTTTTTTTAAAAAAAAATAAA